CTTGCCGTAACAAATTACTACAGAGTAGCTTAAAACTCTCTGAAATTTATTTTCTTACAATCAGGAGGCCTAGAATCTTGCCTCAGGTGTTGACAAGGTTGGTTCCTTCTGAAGGCTCTGTTGGAGACTCTGTACCATGCCTCCCCCAGCTGCTTGTTGAGCCAACAATGCTTTGTATTTTTGGTTTGTGACAGCATCACCCCAATCGTGGCCTCTGTTGAGATGGCCTTTTTCCTTGCTGTGTCTGTGGGTTTCTCTGTGTCCTATCAGTTTTTAAACTAAAGACAACAGGCACTGGATTTACAGCTCGTTACCCTAAAGCCAGGATGATTTCATCTCAAGATCTTTAATTTCATCTGAAAATATCCTATTTTCAAATAAGGACACATTCTGAGATTTCAGGTAGATGTGAATTTTGAGGTGACACTGTCCCAGCCTACTTGTATCTCAGAGTGAATGTTTTATTGTCTGAATATTCCACAGTTTTCATACTTTCTATACAATTACACTACCGATTATTTCTAGTTTTTCACTAATCATAGGTCTTCTCATTCTTGTGCAAGACTAGGTCAAAAGGATTTACATTTCCATTCTGATACACGATGCCAAACTATCTCCTGGAAAAAGTATGCTAATTTACATATTGAACTAGTGCATGAGAGTACACTCTTCAGACTTGAATTTTTTCCTTTACTAATTTAGGATTTTTCAATTATAAGTGGATAGATATGATTTTTATTTTTAAAAGAAAGGTGGAAATAAAGCAGCTAGGAATGCTTCAATGCTGGGACTCAAAAGTGATTCAGATCAAATCATTTCCACGAATACCACTTGTATCAAGAAGTTCAGGAAAAAGCACTAGAGAAATGCTATTAATCTCCTCTATGTAAGGTATATACATTACACAGTGGGATGCTTATGGTAGAAAATGAATGCCCTGCAGATGAAGGAAATTACCTCTTTAAGTTTCTGTGGACAACTGTAACAAAATGTTCAATCTAAAGGAATCATTGCCCATTGGAGGTCACTTCTTTAACCAAGGGGCAATACTTTCTTCAATTACATATTTCACAGCCAGATTTTATATTGGGCTTTTGTTCATTTTGAAAAAAGAAAAAAAGGCTATTCTAGATATCCTCTGGTCCCATTTACCAACCGTCAGACAAATAAGGTTAGCTAACAGAATTATAGGGCATGGCCAATGCTCTGGCTAAAGGTTAAAGGGCCTTGGGGACTAGAATCATCAAAAAAGATAGTTTAAGATGTCAACCAAGTCATGCCTTGTCCCATATGTTACCTTCCTTCTATTAATAACTTAGACTTAAAAATGTAATGTTTTCATTTTTTAATTACCAAAATAATACATGTTCATTTACAGTATTTGAATGAAAAGTTACTACGCATACAAGAAAGTAAAAGCTCCTTCATATTGTTCTAAGATAGAACCATTTGGAATATATTTTTTGTTTATTTCTATACATATAACTATTAATACTATTTTTAAACAAAACTGAGTACATATTGTCTTGTAATCTTCATTTTCACATCTTGCTCACTTTTTAAAGGACATAGATATATTTCATTTCAAAAGCTGAGTGTATACTCTAGAAAAATATCATAATTCATGTAGTGATTTCCCTATTGGTTTGTTGTTGATTTTTCACTACCACAAACATTGCTTCACATTATCCATATAGAATTGCATATTCTTTTTTTTTTTAAATTATTTGTTTGAAAGACAGAGATACAGAGAGACAGAGGCAGAGAGACATAGAGAGAGAGAGAGATCTTCCATCTGCTGGTTCATTCCCCAAATAGTTGCAATGGCCAGATCTGGGCCAAACTGAAGCCAAGAGTCTCTTTCAGGTCTCCCACATGGGTGCAGGGGCCCAAGGACTTGGGCCATCCTCTACTGCTTTCCCAGGGCATAGCAGAGAGCTGGATCAGAAGAGGAGCAGCCAGGACTCAAACCAGTGCCCATTTGAGATGCCAGCACTCAGGCTGCAGTTTTATCAGCTATGCCACAGCACCAGCACCCAGAATTGCATATTCTTTGAGGTATTTATTTAGAATAAATTCTTAGATGGTGGAGTTTGGCACAGCAGTTAAAACACCACTTGGGCTGTCTGCATCCCATATCAGAATGTCTGGGTTTGGGTCCCAGCTTCACTTCCAATTCCAGCTTCCTGCTGATGTACATCAGGGGAGGCAGTTGTAATGGCTCAAACACTTGGGTCCTTGGCAGAGTGGGATCTAGGCTCCTGGCTTCAGTCTAGTCCTGGCCCAGATGTTGCAGGCATTTGGAGAAGCAAACTATTAGATGGAAGATAGTGTTTGTTTTCTCTCTCCCTTCCTCCTCCCACCCTTTCAAATAAAATATCTTAAATAAGCAATTGCTGAAACAAAGAATAGTAGTAAATGCTTTACATGTTGATAGTTTCTGTAGATTGTCTCCCTCTCTCCCCCCATGAAAGATTGTTCCAGGGTCTATTCTCACTTGATCTTAGCAAAAAGGCTGAGAAGCGATGCCAGGGTCTATTCTCACCAACAGTGCATCTACCTAACTACCTTCCTTCCGTCCTTCCTTTGTTCGTTCCTTTCTTCCTTTCTCCAATTTAGACAGTGTCTTGAATTACATGAAACCAAGAATTCTAGGGGTCACCTCTGGGAGATACTTGGCATCTGTGTTATTTTCCCTTGCCCAAGAGTCCAAGTGGTCTAGTAGATGTCTTACAAGAGGGAAGACCCAGCAAATTCATCCGACCGCCGAGAGGATTTCAGCACATTACCGTTACACGGGTGAAAGTGCCGGAGGAGCAGTCTGAAAGCAATCCTTAATTTTATACTCTTGTGCTATTAGAAGCTGCTCTTAGCACAGATACTCTTCCCCTAACAGGCTGTGCAATAAAAATGACAACAAATATTGATGGAATGTCTACTATGTGCCAGGTTTTATGTAGATGTTATCAAATTTTGTCATCATAGCAGCCTGACACATCACTGTGTCCTACCCATTTCAGGTGGAGACTCCAAAACTCAACGATGAAGCTACTTTTTCACAAAACTACCAGTGACACATCCAGTATGGACATCCATTGTCTGACCCCAAGTCCTTGTTCTTCTTATTGACCTAGGGCTCCCTATCAACAGCAGACCTTTCAGCTCACAATTTAATTGATTCAAAATGAACTACTATAGTTCAGTGATGGGGATTTTGAACACATTACCAGCTTTTTGAATTTAAATATCACCCACAAAACATTCATTCTCATTTATTCACTCACTTATCAGGCCTTTTAACTCATTTTTCCTAAAGGATATGTGGAATATGTATTGTTTTTTTAATTAGAGAGAGAAGGAGGGAGGGAGGGAGGGAGGGAGGGAGAGAGGCAGGGAGGGAGGGAGGGAGGGAGAAATCTAGAGAGCTCCTGTCTTCTTGATTCCACCCTCAAATGCCATCAAGGCCTGGGCTGGCCAGGCTGAAGCCGAGAGCTGTGAACTCAGTTCAGGTCTCCAGTGTGGGTGGAAGGGATCGGATCAGTTGAGGCATCACTTGATGTTTCCCAGAGTTTTTACCAGTATGAGGCAGAATCAGAAGCCTGAGTAGGGACCTGAACCCAGGCAATCAGATATGGGCCATGGGCATCCTAGCTGGCTTCTTAACTGTTAGGTAAAGCACCTGACCCATCAAGCATTTATTAAATATATGCCATGTGCCAGATAAAAGAAGTGTGTTTCCTCCCCTTGAGGATGTCAGAGTCAAGTGAGAGCTGCTACGAGGAGTATGCTCATGACATGCTGGGAGCTCAGAGAAGCACTTCTGTAGTCCGGGGAAGCCTTGCAAATCAGGAAACATCTGAATAAAGATAAATCCTTCATCTCCCACAAAATATCCTTTGAGGCTACTTTCAAAAACTGAGCAGGATTAGATCAGGGATTTGACTTTTGAGATGAAAATAGCAGAGAAATAGTCTCTTAAGCTGAAAAAATTATTCTTTTTAATTGACAATACAGTTTTTAAAATTTCAATTATTTGAAGAAATGGACCCTGGGTTCTAGTCCCGGTTGGGGCGCCGGTTCTGTCCTGGTTGCTCCTCTTCCAGTCCAGCTCTCTGCTGTGGCCTGGGAAGGCAGTGGAGGATGGCCCAAGCGCTTGGGTCCTGCACCCGCATGGGAGACCAGGAGAAGCACCTGGCTCCTGGCTTCGGGTCGGCACAGCGCGCCGGCTGTAGCAGCCATTTTGGGGGTAAACCAACAGAAAAGGAAGACCTTTCTCTCTTTTTCTCTCTCTAACTCTGCCTGTAAAAAAAAAACAAAAAACAAAAAACCACCACTGGTAAGTTTGCTGTATGTTTCTGAATCTTCTTTCAGTGCTTATGTGTGCATGCGTGTGTGTGTGCACGCATGCACACACATTATAGTTCTCTTCTAACATTTGCTTTGTTTGGGGAGGACATTGAGCAAAGCAGTTTAACTGCTGCTTTGGACACCAGCGTCCCATATTGGAGTGCCTAGGTTTGACTCCTGCCTCTGCTCCCAATGCAGCTTCCTGCCAATACAGGACCAGGGAAGCAGCAGGTGATGGTTCAAGTGCTTGGGCCCCTGCCACTCACGTGGTAGATTTGGAAGGAGTTCTGGGCTCCTGGCTTTGACCTGGCCCAGCTCCAGTTGTTGGGGATATTTTGGGAGTGAATTAGTAAATGGAAGATCTCTCTCTTCCTGTTCCTCCCCTTGTTCCATCTGCCTTTCAAATAGAAATAAAAAAAAAAAATCTAAAAAAGTTTTACTTTCCTCACCTCAAAATAAGAAGTGGTTATTTATCAATATTCATTATCTTCAGTTTTTTACACAGGTGTGTACTAATTCAGTAAATGGATTTGTCAAAATGTATTTAATCTCAGTGAATACTGGTGGTTGCAAGTTTTTAATATCGCAAACAACACTGTAATGCTTCCTTCTGTGTATACAGCTTTGTGACTTTGCTCTATTGTTCCCACAAGTAAATTATCCAGAAATGGAATTACTGATTCAAGCAAGGAGGATACATGTTGCCAGACTGTCCCAGAAAGGATTGTATCTGACACTCGCTGCTATGAGGAGAGTTCCAGAAATGACTCTGGAATCAGAAGGAACAAAGTGCACATCCAGGTCAGCTGCTTTCTAGTTGTTTTAAAGTTGGCGAGTTACTTAGACCTGAATCTTAGCCCGCTTGTGTCTGGAATCCATTAGCAGTACTTATCTCAAAGGGTAAGATAAATCGAGATAATCCTTATGTATGAACAATCTACTCTAGTGCTTGGCACCAAGCAAGCACTCAAGATGAGATGGGTACTGGGTCTCTGGAAAGCTACAGTGCTGGGAAAGAATGAAGAATAATTGTTTTATCCTCAGAATCAGAAGCTATTTCATGTTTTTGGTCTGAGGAATTATCTAATGCACAAGGAGATCTTGGAACTGGGCTTCCCACAAAGTCCCAAGTGCTGTCTGTACATGCATCCGTGTGCTCTGTCCTTGCAAGGAGTTCCTCCAAGCATTTCCCTCCTTCATCTTATTTATCAGATTCAATGGGTCTGGGACACCACCCTGTGTGCCTTAATGGCCAGTGTAAGTATGCCTTTTCTTTTTATAACGTAAGGCCTTTAAAAGAGGGTGTTGGTGATGTATAATCGGGAGCTATTTCATGAAGTCCTAGATCACTTGCAGTGAGATAAATTGGATCTGCGTAGTAACACATTAAAAACAGGGACATCTGCACAGCTTCCCCCTAGTGCTTTATAACTGGTCTCTCCCTTTTAAATCCACATCTGTTATATAGCTCCCAAGTAAATGGCACACATTTTGCTTAAAGACAGGACAGACTGTAAGGACTAAATTTTATTTTTTTCTGACCATTAGTGCCTGCCATCAAACAGATTGTGAAAAGGCACACATTTTTGAGCTGTAAGCAGGCATTTTGTATGCATCCCCACAAGGGAGACAATTTATTACCCTTAAAGATATGCATATCTATAAATGTATTGGTTAATATATACATTTGCTCCTTAGAAAATATTTTGATATTTGCAGTGGGGAATTCTGAATGGATCTATTGTGATATGAAAAAAGCTTTTTTTAAAGCTTTTTTTTTAAAGAATGGCAAAATCTTGACAATTGCTGAAGCTGGGTAATGGGTACAGGTGAATTCATTGTATTATTCTCTCTGCCTTGTGCAAGTTTATCATTTTTCTTAATAAAAATTATATTGAAAAGATTATATTTCTCTGAGCCAAAATATACTGTTTCATTATGTTCTCTGTCCATAGCAGAATGTATAAAATCCCACATTACACTGAGAAAAGATCCTTAGAGCTTAATGTAAAATCAAATGACTGAGAACAACCAATATTCTGTTGGCCTTTGATTAGAGTTGAGTGTTTTTGTGATATTACAATCTGACTGAGCTGTGAAGGTCCATGCAATTTACTTTGAATTGTAAATGTGTCCAACATAAGGATTTTTTAATCCCATTCTGTGCTCTCATCTTTTGATTATTTCAGCTATCAGACTAAGTCTCATTCTCCCTGCTTTTTCCTTCCCTAAAAGGACTGTTTAACTTTTCAAGTGATACAAGCCAGACTCAGAACATGAGAATTAGCTTTAGGAGATCAAGTTTTGAATCTCAGTTCTGTCTAACCTTGAAAAAACTTAATTTCTCTGAAAGTCAATTTTTCATATAAAATGGATGTAAAATAACCTCTTTTGGGTTGATATGAAGATTAAAACAGAACAATTAAAATGCACTTTACAAACTGTAAATCACCCACAGCGGGGGGTAGCTGTGATTGTTCCCGCATGGGCTGTGACCCCTCTGAAAATAAAGAGCTCTTGGCTGGCCACAGCACTGAGGACGCACAGTTCCCTGAGTGGGACAGTGCTGAGGGAAAGAGCTTGATAACTATAGTCACCAAGGTGTGGTTTTTAAATGTCAGTGTGCCCCTGGGAGCTTGTTAAGATTTAGATGCCTGGGCTGGCGCCGCAGCTCACTAGGCTAATCCTCCACCTTGCGGCGCCGGCACACCGGGTTCTAGTCCCGGTCGGGGCGCCGGATTCTGTCCCAGTTGCCCCTCTTCCAGGCCAGCTCTCTGCTGTAGCCAGGGAGTGCAGTGGAGGATGGCCCAAGTGCTTGGGCCCTGCACCCCATGGGAGACCAGGAGAAGTACCTGGCTCCTGCCATCGGATCAGCGCAGTGCGCCGGCTGCAGCGCGCCAGCCATGGCGGCCATTGGAGGGTGAACCAATGGCAAAGGAAGACCTTTCTCTCTGTCTCTCTCTCTCACGGTCCACCCTGCCTGTCGGAAAAAAAAAAAAAAAAAAAAAAAAAAAAAAAGATTTAGATGCCCAGATGAATCCCATGGTACTGGGTCAGAACTCTAGGGTGGGAGTATGTTTGAGGGGGAGAAGGGAAGAGAGAGAGCAAGAACACCCCCATCTGCTTCCCAAATCCCTGGGAGCTGGGAACTTGATCCAGGTCTCCCATGTCGGGAACGGGGTCTAACTATTTGAGCCATCATTTGCCACCTTCCAGGGTGTGCCTTACCAGGAGCTGGAATCTGCAATGGAACCAGGAACTGGAATTCAGGTATCTGATATGGGATGTGGGCATCTTAACTGCTAGACCAGATGCCTGCCTCAGAATTTGTATTTTCTGTTAAGTATTCCTAGTGATTCTGATGTTGATGGCCAAAAGGTTACAATCTGGAAAACATGGTTGCTAAAGCATCACAAGTTATCTTTTGAAGGATATTTCTAGTTCAAGAGAAAACTCTAGGTGAAGCCAGTATTTAACCCAAAGGACTATGTCACTGGGAGTGAAATGCAGACATCAGCAAAGGAAAGAATTTTGAATGGGATCTTCCTAGAGCCCTTTAAACTGTACCCCACAATGATCACAGCTAGATATAAATAAGAACTGGCTGCTTTTTTTTTTTTTTTAATATTCTAGCTGCCTTGTATTGAACTCTTTCCAGGTAATTTTGCTTCTGTGTGGACCTATTCTTAAGGGAATGCTATTCTGGAGATTTTATTTATATTTTCTGAATTATTTTAAGTGTGATTATTGTTTTGTCAAGAAACTATAGCTTTTCCTTTAGATAATTTACTTTGGAGGAGCTTGTTGTATTGTTAAATGTGATTTTATTTAGACTTCAGGCTAAAATATTTCCTGTGGGGAATACATCTTTGGCTTTGCAATGTAAGTCAATGGAAAAATAGGTTTGATTAAAATAAAATTGCTTTATAGTCTTTTTTTTTTTTTTTTTTTACAATTGGGACAACTGCGTTAGCTGAGCTTGCCCTGTATACCCACTCTCTAAATGCTATTGACTTGAGCCGGCGCCGTGGCTCAATAGGCTAATCCTCCACCTTGCGGCGCCGGCACACCGGGTTCTAGTCCCGGTCGGGGCGCCGGATTCTGTCCCGGTTGCCCCTCTTCCAGGCCAGCTCTCTGCTATGGCCAGGGAGTGCAGTGGAGGATGGCCCAGATGCTTGGGCCCTGCACCCCATGGGAGACCAGGAAAAGCACCTGGCTCCTGGCTCCTGCCAGGATCAGCGCGGTGCGCCGGCTGCAGCGGCGGCCATTGGAGGGTGAACCAACGGCAAAAGGAAGACCTTTCTCTCTCTGTCTCTCTCTCTCACTGTCCACTCTGCCTGTCAAAAATAAAAAAAAAAATAAAAAAAAAAAAAAAAAGTGAATGCTATTGACTTGTTACAATACAACTGTTCTTCCGTGTCCATCCTGTTAGGCTTGCCTTCTCCATTCAGACTGATAGCTTGATTTCTTAATTATTGAATATCTAAGTTAAATAAAGGCATCTTGGAAGCTGTAGTGTTGTAAAAGTGCAAGAAGCTTGTTGAGGCGCTTCTTTCATCTTCTGCACCTCCAGTGCCACGCCTGGATTTTCAGCAGATTTGGCAGGAGGCAAATTCCAAGTATGTGCTGTTCTCTAAGTAGATAGAAGCCCATCCGGAACCTCTGCCTCCTACATTACAGATTGAGAAGAGCAACTTAGAACGCAATGTTAAATCTTTGGTTTTCTAGACATTCAGGACCAGAAGGTAGAGTTGAAATGGGAGGGACAGATGCGGGAGTCGCGGGGTTGGGGAGGGCCAACGACAATCTTGCCTAATTCCTTTCGTTCTAGTTTTAAGCAGCCTGTGGAGGTGCTTTAATTTATGTACTAGATTTTGGCAATGACCTCTTCTCAAGGCGCTTGGACCATGTCTCCTTCCTTTCATTGCTGTTTGAATCCCCACCCCTGCTCACGTTAGAGTACTTTTGGCTGCAATAAATGAGTTTGTGTTTTGAATCACTAGAAAAAATGATTTGAGTAATTTTTTTGCAGGAAATGTGTTAGTAGGATTATATATAACATTTTATTATTGATTGCATATAAATAAATAAAGATTTTTCAAAGTGGGTGTTTCCATATAGCCTTCCCTTTTCAAGATTTAAAAAAAATATTTTTATTTTATTTGAAGGGCAGAGAGAGAAACACACACACACACACACACACAAATCTTCTGTATGCTGATTTTGTCCCTAAATGCCTTCAATAGCCAGGGCTGGCTGAGGCTGAAATCAGGAGCCGGGAACTCAACCTGGGTCTTCCTTGTTGGTGGCAGAGAAGGAAGTATTTGCGCCATCATCTGCTACTGACCAAGGTGCACATTAGCAGGAAACTGAGTTGGAGGCAGAAGAGCCAGTACTCAAACCACACACTGATGTGAGATGCAGGCTTCCTAAGCAGTGACTTAACCACTGTGTCAAACACCCATCCCTCAGTGGTTTTTTTTGACATTGTGATTTTTATGTAGCTTCTTTGAGGTATGTTTTATCATTATATTTTTCTGCTTTTATTAAAAATAATACCAAAACATACAAACTACTTAGTTTTATCCTAGCGCTGAATCTCATTCTCTATTGAATCTCACTCTCAGGGATATGCCATAGAGTAGGAGTGAGTGAGGGCATGAAGAATGGATGAGTTTCAAAAAACTATTGTTTACATTAAAACAAACAAATGAAAAAAAAAAAGCCAAAACTAGGATGTCAAAATGGCAGTGGCAAATTGACTAAAAATAAAAAAATCCGGGCCAGTACTGTGGTGTAGT